TTTTGTTGGCATTTTCGCGTCACCCATTCGCATTTTCAATTTGTTTAAATATCCTGCGAAATGCTTGGACACAGACTAAATATACAGGGACTTACGGCTGATCTTAGTTTGACGACAGTGCAAAGAAATAGCTTAGCTCTTCGAAAAAGTTGACAATTGTTGACAAATTTATGAAGAAACAGTGTTTAAAGGGCGGTGGTCGTCGCGCAGCGCATGTTTCGAATTTCATGAAACAAACAATATTTTACACGCGTTGTTTACGTCTCTATTTTTAATTAGTAGTTTGTGCATTGTTAGCATGTATCCATTTTTTGTAAATGGGTTAGGCGCATGGGAAGGGGTGGATGCTTACTTAATGATGTACTAGCTAGTAAGGAAAATATTTCTCCAAATACCGTAAAGATCAGTTGTCAAAAAGAATACTGCCTTCTAGCTTATCCCAAATTTCCCGATTTTTCAACAGCTCTTTCAGTTCCCAGTGACGTGGTACTGGATGTGGAAGGATCAACATCGATTCGAGTTACCTGGTCAGCGTTCGCTGGACAAGATATCGTTGGGTACAAGTTAGTGTACGGCAAATCCGGAAACTCGAACTTTTCTATTATCCGAGTCAGTGACCCTTCACAACTGTCTTTCGTGATAAACAACTTGACACCATACACTGAATATGTTTTTGCTGTGGCCGGTGTTAACTGTGCCGGAGACGGTACTCCGTCCGCGCTTCAAGCGGCAATGACTGAACAAGATGGTACTAATATATAATTCATATATTGCGTTTTTGACGTATCTGGTTGAAAAGGACTTGAAACTGGTCGATTTTGTTCTGATCATATGCATTAACCACAAACCACAAAATAATTATATATTTCAAGTCACCAACGCTTATACAAACTCTCAATGGTGTCATTACGAACGACTTGGCTTTCATCACCTGAAAGCAATTCGTCGTTGGAGGGCGCTACTGCGTATGAGAGCAAGTTTCAGATACTATTAGTATCCGAATTCATATTACTCCGTCCTCGTTATAAACAGAAGAATCAAGGTCACAACTGAATTATGACATCATAATTCAATTTTTGGTTCTCAAAACAAAAAAGTAGCCTTATTACTTTTCACCATTATATTTTTTCAGCTCTATCATTATTCTACATTTTTACATTACTTTGTTGGTTTACCTTTTTTTTTTTTGCTTTATGAAATTGTTGAACCGTAAATATGTGTTGACTTACATTCACAGCCCCCGGACCCGTACAGTATTTGCAGCTGACTAGTCATTCGAAGGACACTATAATAGCTCGGTGGGAAGTACCGCTTCAGAAAAATGGTATCATACGGTACTACGAGTTGGCCTTGTATGAAAACGACGTTCTTACTAGAGACAGGATCGGGAGGACCACAGTTGACACAAACATGATATTGCCGGGTCTGCATCCCTATTATCTATATCGTGTCGTCGTCTGGGCTGTCACAGTTACAAAGGGCGATACAGCAGAGGCCGAGGTTCGGACAAGTCAAGATGGTAAGACATTTGGATTTATCTAAGAAAAAAATGTTGTATATGACGACCTTTGTTTAAATGTCCGGTCACTCTTATCTAAGCTGTGTTTCCTGAAATTTGTAAAACTTTCTTAGATTGTAAATGTCGATTCAGTCAACAGAATTCCTTTTACTTTAGATATCTGTTTTTTATACATGTTTCAATGCTTAGTAGACTAAATAACCTTACTTTCGAATGGCGCTCTCTAGTGGCCATGCGCTTTCTTAGTCATAATGGTTTGACCTAATTACATATACACAAAGTAAAAATCACGTACACATACATTGTCATGTAGATCAATTTTGACCCATTTCCATGTCTTTCTACAGCGCCAAGTGGGCCGCCACAAAATCTCATCGTCAGTCACGCGACGCGTGATAGCATCACGTATGAATGGCAGCCGCCAATTTTGAGCGAACAAAACGGCATAATAACGAGATACGAGTACACTTTCCGAAACGCCAATGGTGGCAGCAGGACAATGCGATACACTTCCGACACCACCGTAACGATGAACAATCTAGTCCCTAATACCCCGTACTCGTTTAAAGTAAAAGCGTTTACTACAGTCGGCGGCGGCCCGGACAGCGACGAGCTCATAAAGTCCACACTAGAAGGTACAGTATAGCGCCGCTAGTTTTGACGGCATTAATACTTTCGTTTGAACAGAATGGCTCTATTACAGTCTCCGCGAAGAAATGTGATCTGTTGTCTCGCTTTACAGTGTCATGGTTGTTGCATCATTTTCGATATGGCTTCCCGGTATGGGGTTCCATGCGACGTTTACACCGTGTCTCTGGTGAGAAATACATTACATTTCCTTGGTATTTTTTTTTGTTTGACAATTCTAAATGTCGCATTCTTGTTATTTTATGATTTTAGTAAGTGCGGTAACCACCGCGAAAACAATGACGACTACCGCGGAATCTGTTGTAACCCATGTCGCCACTGCTCGCACCAGGAAAGGTAGTTGGGCATCTATTTTTCACACCAAACAAAATCACTTTTATCAACTATATTTTATGTTCTATGCGTAATCACGTTTTCATAAAATCTCAATCTTTGATGTGGTGTTCTATTTATTTTTCTTTCTTTCTATCTTTTTATTCATTGGTTTCCTATTCTTGTTTTAGCTACGCCTGTTATTTTATCTTCCTTGCCTCCATTTCTTGGGATTAAGGTTTCCTCCACTATTCCGCATTCACTTAATTCGGAAATGCCCTCTAAAATCATAGCATCTACGCAAGTGCCTACGAGAGGGATGACCAAACCTCGACCAACTAGGTCTTTGATAGAGTCAGCGAGGAGTAGACCATGGACAACGCTCTACAACGTTGGAACATCGCCCTCACGCGTGGCTGCCAAAGGTAGACAGGAACAGCTTAACACAAAATGCGCTACTAACCCGAGAATACTGAAAGTGGCAATGGTCCGAGAACTAACTAGAATCTATGCGCTTTTCGGGTGTACATCGCTTAAGTTTATCATATAAATGTCAAGGTTCAAACGTCACGTCATGCCACCTCACGTCACATCACGTCACGTCACGTCATGTCACGAGTAAAACATTCTGCCTTTGTTGTTCAGTTAATTATAATATACGGGGAAAATTTCCGGTTTTCTAACTGCCTATGCTATGGAGGTGAGGTGTTACATACACATACAGCGAAAAGGGCATAGATTCTCTGCTGGTCCCTTTGACTAAGATGCCGTTCATGATAATCTATACAGACCCAGTGTTCATCCAATCGTAATACATGTAATTGGGAACTTGGTACACAATGGTGTAGCAATATTTAGTGTTTAGATTAGTATGCAACTGTTTGAGGGTAACAGATAAACAACACTGTGTGGTCAAATCTTGTTTTTGATGGTAGTCCATGACTGACACAATGAGAATAGTAGATTATCACAACACGCAAACAATAATATGCCTTTCGGAAATGAACATATAAACTGTTGTAACTGGTTTGAACTCGTGGCGGGAGTAGCAGAAAAACTCCTGGATCTGTATCTTTGGCAACTGCTTCTGTTTAGCATTTTTTTGTTCACATTAACTTGTAATATAGTGTATTCACATGTTGTGTTTATATTGGTATCAATTTCTTCTAGGCACCGCCGTGACAAAAAAAGCACAACGTGGCAAGTCTAGCGAAGCTCCATACAAATTTTTGACAACAGCAATGTCTCCAAAATCCGGCGGTTTGTTCGATATCAACAGTTCCATAACATCGGCCGTTATAATAGTTATTGGCGTTATTGCAGCAATTACTCTAATTTTGCTTCTGGGCTGCGCTGTCGGCTTTGTCGTCTATACGAGAAAAAGGCGCGAACGTAAGCTCAGACGACAATCACTTGCAGAAAATAGCGTGCAGCTCAGCGAGGTAAGTGGTCCTCTCAAATTGACGAAAATATATTTTAGGTTTGGAAAGTGATAATTTCAATAGTTTCCTGAAAAATATTCCATTTGTGCACGGTTATCTCTTCATAAGGAGAGATATTTATAACACACACACACTGTAATCACGTGGACGTAAATATTCAAGATCACGTGACCACAATGCATGGTGGGTAAACGATTTAGTTAAAACGCCATATGATTGACTGCACAGACACTCGGACAGGACCGTCTCATATGCCGACTGAGTTTGCTCACCACATGAATTTTGTAACAATCCCGAAAAAGTTTCGTTCGATTGGATGAATTTGTTTGTTTGTATGGACGAATAAATTAACCGTGGGCGTCATTAACCAACTGGGAACGAGCCTACAATCTGATGACTTACTGAGAAAGTATTTTTTACGCGCAATAGAAACTCACTTATAGGCCAATTATTGTATGTAGTGTATACTGTATTGCTTGTGCTTTGCTGAATTGACTTGAAGCATTTTTACCTTGCCCGTACCATCAAAGATGGAAGGGAAAGGTATATTAAGGGAAAAATTTTGTCCGGCGTTGTCGTTGTCGTCGTCGTCGTCGTTGTTGTTGTCGTCGTCGTTAATAATTGTTATATAATAATTCTATTCCAAACTTCATCAAACTTGGTCACCTTGTTCATCAGTATAAAGTCTACCCTGAGTTTGAACAACAGATGTCCTGTATGAAAATATCATGCAAAAATTGAGAAAAACTGATAAAATATTTTGACTGTTTCTACTTGACTGATCACTGGTGATACACATCAAAGGTCACTGATCTCAGTGGAAATATGCATTGTTGTATGTGTTCAATGAAGCAAATGATTTATCTTGTAATAATATCCTTGGTAATGTATCTCAGAATCCCTTACTGGGTTTCAAAACCAACTCATGGAGAGATTGCACAGTCTGATACACATTTGCAAACCTACCAATAAATCTTTACAGAAAACAAGATGTCAGAAAATCAATATAAGCACTCCTATGAACTGGGTGCCAAACTTTGATCAAGATCTGAAGCTAATAGAAAATCTGTTTAGTTCAAAGTTATCAAATCAAAAACAATACATAAAAAATACATAAAAAGCAAAACATTTCATCCACATTTTAAAAAGAAAATTGTTCTAAAATATATGTATTCTGTATTTGACAAACAGTTCATTCGACAAATGAAAACTCACAGGAATATGTTTCAGCTATTAGAACAGAATGATAGAGTTCTTATAATACTAGTTTAAAAACTCACTTCAAACAAAGATTGCAGTGTTTGAAGATGTAGGTTCTCAGGGGGCAACAGTACTGTTGACTTCTCCCTCCACTGGACACCAACTAACTATTTAAGGTAGCGGGACTATTATTTGCATACTTGTTTTCATCTTCTAATTGTGACTGAATGACTACAAATAGACCCGGGAAAGTATATATTTTTAGAATCGCCAGACTTCAAGCTTTTCACAAGTGTATTTTGCATGCCCGTATCTGCATTCTACGACGCGTTACTCAATCAAAGGTGAAAAATTACTTTTTCTGTAAAAAAAATAA